TGGTTGCAATTGGAGAGGGGCAAAAAGGGTAAATCACTATATAGGAGGAGCCAAAGAAATCTCAAGGGGCAGGGAGGAGGAAAAAAAGTAATTAAATCATTCTCGTACTGGGGACAATATAAATTAGGGAGCGTTTAACACATGACAGGAATTGCAGAGCTGTTTAACACACAACACTAAACGTTTAAAATTGGCAAGTGGGCCCATTCCCTTTTTGACCACTTTAGCCACACACTCTACCCAATTACAGCTGTAAGTCCCTGCCCTAAAGCCTTGGGTCACTGAAATCAACGGCTCCTGATCGACCGTCTCAAAAAGCAAAACCCTGATAAAAAGAAGGGCCTCCTTGAAATTTAAAAATAGAGTTTTAAAGCTGTGTGAGGATGACTTCAACGTCTTCCACGTAGGAAGGCCCCACTCCCAGGCTGTAAGAATCTCACGTGATTCTAGTTGAATCCCTTTGACTTTTTAGGCTCATCCAAGAAACGAAAGCTACTTTCCCCGTACTCATCTTCCTAGAGCGTCACCCTCACTTTACCCCCTTATTTGATCCCATAAAAAGAAGGGGAAGTAAAATTTTACCCCCATATTTTCAGTTATTTTGTTTTAGAGCATGATGCGTGTTGCGGATAAATGTGGGATGTAAGTGTTAATCGAATGAATGGTCAATAATCACATCATATACATTGCACGTAACGGTAAGTGTATAAATTTTTCTTTTTCGGGTGCAAGATGAACCTGTTAATTTGTCTAGTTACTTGACTTTATATTCGTTTTGAGTTTTGTTAATGTATTTTGTTGACAAGAACATCAATCGAACATTTAAATATTATAACAATAGTATAGAGTGATAGATAATTACCTACACTAACCCCATGATGCACTAGCGATTTAATGATACAAATCACTGCATGTAGAGGACTAATTTGTCCCATACTCCACTTTATTACGATGAGCTTCAATTTACTTGGAAATGACAAACTTTTTGTGTTCCACATGGTATGATCTAATGTACTTTTGGTTCAATGCTATGTACCATATTCTAGAAAAACCCTTTCAACCACATCCCAATGAAATTATGATAAAAATTATTCAAATATTTATTTGGCAAGACATACAACAAATATCTCTTTTGGAGTTCAAATTTTGTTCCAAGATAAGATGAAATCATGAGAGGGAACCTAATTCATGAACAAGTAGATCATATCTTTTAATTGTTTTTAAAGATTGGATTTTGTCCCTTAGGAATTGTTTTATAGGAGGAGCATAAAAACGCTACGTACAACACCCCCACCACCGTACATGTTCATTTATTTATTTATTCATTATTTTTATAGCAGACGTACATGTGTAATTTAGTAATAGCAAATTGTGGCTTCAAAATTGAGAACCACGCGCTCGCCAGCTCGGTAGCAAGAGCTCCCGCAATCTGAACACAAGCGCTGTGATGATTGCATCCTAGCCGCCCACGTGGCACTATTTATGGATTTTTTCGGATGGTGTAACTTTTGGCAAGAAGCAGTTGGGCAGTTGATACTACAGCTGGCACCAAATCCTTACCCCACAGTCACCGACTTGTTTCAGAATTTTCAAACCCAAAAAGAACTGTGTACTAATGTTTTAAAATAGAAAAAGGGTAAATGGCACTGGCTCTTACGTCAGCTTGTATTTTTTTAACTGAAGTTGTGTGCCGGAGGAGACTCGAACTTTAGTGTAAAGAAGCGAGCTTACTGCTTTGATTAATTGTTTAATTTACATCGTATAATTGCCCCTTTCAAGCAAATCTAGCACCGGCAAATTCTTTTACCAAACAATTTGTTGATACACTTGTAAATTATCATTTTTTGAATATCCAGAAATTAAGAAGGTTAAATCATGTCTCTCATAATTTGGTGAACAAAAGACAGTGAATAAATTTGGTAGCCCTCCGAGCAATACTCATTTATAAATTACATTTACGGTTTTTTAAAAAAAATTTGTTAAGGGAAAAATAGTTAAAATTGTGTACGGTCGGTTGTAGGCTGCAGGGTGGGCCGCATATTTAGATAAGTTTTTATTTGGTAGATATTTTTCTGCGATCAGAGAAATTTGGGCCAGTTGTCTGGTTACTATCAGGTGGGTCCCATGGTGTCCCCTTCCAACCCAATTGCCGGTTGTGTTTGTCCTACAAATAGGGTCTAGCCCAATGCCGCGTGATGATTGGTACCTTGTCCTTCTCGCCTTGGTCAACAGTTTGGTTAAGATAGTTGTTGATATTCTCCTTGTTTTTCTTCTTCTTGCCCCTTACTTGTTTTTCCTCTCATCTTCTACATGATTTTATTAAGAAAAGTTTGTTCCCTAAGTATTTAAGCTTAATTTTCGTTTCATTGGTTCCAACATCCTTTCAATATATCCATTTATAAAACGTAGGAATATATCCAATTTAGTTTATATACATATATAAATTTAGTTTGACTTGAATTTTGAAGTAATCTGATAAGTTATGACCAACTGACCGAACTTACATTTTAGGTCATTAACACGTAGTTTGAAACTAATCTCTTTAATGCTAGCTTGGAGTTCATGCATCTTTTCCTCTTACTATTCTTTTTCCTATATGACCATGAGTCTATGAGTGACATGACAAGTGATGATATGAAGGCCTTATTTTGTTCATGTTAAGTGAATTTCACTTGTCAAAACACACTCACACTCAAATTCCTAAACTACTAAAAACATAATAAGAGTACTTTTCTTTCTTTCTCTTTCTCTTGACTCTTCCTTTCCCCCAACCCAAAACCACAACAAATATGAAAATCTCCTTGGGCCCTTGGAACCACTCATTTCGGCTAATAATTCGGGCCTCTCCCTCCCCCCTGCGATTATGTTGTGGAGAGGTTTTCCCTCCCAACTTTTGTTGGATTTTGTCTGATCCTTGCTTTTGCAAGGTGTTATTGTGTCATCCCTATTGCTCTAGGGTTTGTGTTCCAGCCTTTTAGGGCGGGTTTTTGAAAGATCTTGATAGATCTGTTGCTTTTGTGGTAAATCTCTTATGGATCTATCTATATTGGAGGTGGAGTTGTTGGATTTTGTGGATTTACAATCTATTGTGATTGGGGATTAAGTGGGGATTTGGAAATGCTGTGGTATTCTTTAGAATGTTCTGATGGAAGATGAGCAGTTATGCCCTCCACTCTTGAGGTGTTTCTTGTCCAATGATGTTTGAGAGATTGTTTTTTGCCTTAATTTTTTTCAAGCACCGGTTGTTGTAGGGATTTGGGTTCTCCTCATCTGTAACTCCATGTTAGCTAGGATTCAAGATGTATATAATGTCTTGTAATATTTGTGCATAGTTGGTTATGTTTTTACAATTTATGTGTTGCAAGAACCTCTATTTGAGACTGTGTTCTTACTGATGTATTCTGGATTTTTGCCATAATTTCAATTGAATCTCTACTGTTTTGAAAAAAAAAAAAAAAAAAAACACTTTTCCTAGGGTGAGAATCCTCAGGAGACCCATTATGTTTTCCATCTAATATTGGTTCAAATTCAGATTAACTAAA